TTATTTATACCATTCCTTAAAAAAAAACATTTTGAATTCCAAATACTCTTCCTCCCTCTAACCCCTTCCACATCCATTAAGAAGGCAAGCAACCATGCAAGCTGAGAATCAGGTATATTCTTTACTATTACCAGTGAGTATTCTCCAGAGGTCTATCATATCTAATTTTTCTAAAATTCTATTCATCTCCTAAATTTCTTGTTTATTTTATGGTTATGTTTATCTAGTTCTGAAAGGGGTAAATTGAGATCTCTCACTAGTTTAGTTTTATTGTATTTCCTCCAATCATTCATTTAATTTTGCCTTTAAGAAGTTGGATCCTACCCCATATATGATTATTATTGATAGTGCTTCATTGTCTATGGTACCTTTCAGCAAAATGTAGTTTCTTTGATTATCTCTTAAGGAGTTATTTTGCTTTTGCTTTGTCTGAGATTATGATTTCCACCCCTGATTACTTCAGCTAAAGCAAAATAGATTTTGCATCAGCAAACTCTGTTTCCTATAAACAACATATTACTGGATTCTGGTTTCTAGTCTACTCTGCTATCCACTTCCATTTTATGGGCGAATTCATCCCATTCACATTTAGTTATGATAACTGTATTTCCCTCCAATCTATTTTCTTCTGTTTATCTTTTTTTTACCCTGTCCCTCCTCAAAAGTCTGTGTTGCTTCTGACCACAACCTCTCTTAATTCTCCCCCGCTCTTATTCCATCCACCCCACCCTTTCTTTTATCTCCTTTCTCTCCTACTTCCCTGTTGGGTAAGATGGGTTCTACACCCACCTGAATGTGTATATATATTCCCTCCTTGAACCAGTCCAGATAACAGTAAGGTTCAATTATTGTCTAATCTCCCCTCCTCCATTTTCTTCTCCACTCTAAAAGCTCTTCTTTTTGTGCCTCTTTTATGTGAGGTAATTTCCCCCATTTTTTCCCTCTCTTGCCCCCCATTTTCCAGTGCTTCCCTCTCTCACCCTTCCATTTTTTGGGGAGACCAACATAATCTACTCACACCCATGTTCTCTATGTAGACTCCTAACTGTCCTTATAATGATAAAATTTTTAGAAGATACATGTATTATCTTCCCCTATAGGAAGTAAACAGTTTAACCTTGAGTCCTTTATGATTTCCATTTCATTTTACCTTTTTATGCTCAAGTCTTATATTTGAAAGTCAAATTTTCTGTTCAGCTTTGGTCTTTTCATCAGGAATGCTTGAAAGTCCTTTATTTCACTAAATGTCCACCCCACCCACCCACTCCCATTGCTGCCCCCCACAACGAATTATACTCAGTTTTGTTGGGTTGGTTATTCTTGGTTGTAATCCTACCTCCTTCGCCTTTCAGGATATCATATTCCAAGCCCTCTGCTCCTATAACATGGTAGCTGCTAAATCTTGTGTGAACTTGACTATTGGCTCCACATGTATTTAAATTTTTTTTTCTGGCTCCTTGAAAATATTTTCTCTTTGACCTAGGAGTTCTGGGATTTGACTATAATATTCCTGGGAGTTTTCATTTGGGGATTTATTTCCATTTCTATTTTACTGGTTCTGGTTCTAAGATATTGAGGAAGTTTTCCCTTGTAATTTCTTGAACTATGATGTGTAGGCTCTTGTAGGGAGTCCAATAATCCTTAAATTATCTCTCTTTGATTTATTTCCCAGGTGAGTTGTCTTTCCAAAGAGAAATTCACATTTTCTATTTTTTTCCCATTCTTTTGACTTTTAAAAAATGTTTCTTGATGTCATCTCATTTCTTTTAGGTATTCATGCAGTTTTTATGGAAAAAGTTTTGTCTTTGTGATTAAGGCTCAAGCTATTGATATGTTCAGTCAAAGGCAAAAAAAGGCCAACCCATAAGGAATCGATACTTCCCAAACTTGGTGGGTGTCCCACTGTTATGCTACTCGCCACATCCATCTGACCCAACATACTCTGCTGCCAGGTGATCCAGTCAGATGGCAATTTTCCAATGAGTTTCCATTCATTTTTCCTCATATTCATCCTCAGGCTAAAAATTTAGTTTGTGTTTGAAAAATACCTGCTTGAATGATCCACTTTTGCACCATGTTGCACTCAGGACCTTTGATCAAGATGGGTTGCCCAATGCGGGGTTGGGTATGCTTTTTGTGATTTTTCCTCCCTCTGTAGTTTCTATTTCTTAGAGGCTGAAATTTTAGGGACATAAGACCACCAGTAGCATGGTTCTCATGCTTTTTGCTCAGGATATAGTATTACTTTTTGCCATGAGGAAATGCAGAATGCCACAGGAAAATTAAGAAATTCACCCATTCACTTACAAGTATAAAACAATTCATGGGAGACTGGCATATGGAGCACATCTAGCCAAGCCTCATGCCTGCCAAGGTATACACACCCTTTTGATAACAACTGTTCTATTACATCACACAAGGCATTTAATAAATGCCTATTTACTGACTGTAAAAATACTACACTTAAAATCGCCAAGTAAGGCTATGAACATCATTGACTATTAACATTTTAAAAGCGAAATTGCTCTTGAGGAAAAGTAACTTACACAAGACAAATCTAATTTCCACTTGGGTAAAAAAAACAAAAAAAATCAACAACAAATTTCCTTTGCCAAGCTAGTAAACTTCTCTACTAAGATCCTCCTGTGATACCATATCACAGCATGAAGGTGACCCTGGGTTCTTAAAGGCTGTGTCCACAGAATACACATTGCAGCACGTCCCACTAAGCTGGAAAGGCCAAGCATTGCCCAGTGATAAGACCAGGTCTATCTTTTAAGGACCAGCCTTACTAAATTCAGAGAGGCCTATCACCAGACTGGTCACAGGGTGATTTATTCTTCGGCCCCAGAAGCTCCTAAAAATCATCCAAGACGTAATGAGGTTAGATCTCCACAGGTAAAGGGAATAAAACAAGGAGGAAGTCAGATGCTTGATGTATCTTGTATATAAGTTTGATGGAAAGTGAGTTAAGACACCACAGGAAACAAATGTCAAGTGTCAGTGACACAGTCTGTTAACTTGCCCCCTGCTCTTTTTTCCTCCTGCTCCCTGACTTTGTCTCATTCTTACTCCCCATCCCCCACCCTCACTCTCCCATCCTTGATCTTTTGTTTTTTGATTTTCTACTTGCTTTCTCTTCATTTTTGGAAAGCAAAGACTTCAGTCATACTATTATTAAAGATGCATTCATTGTTCTCTGTATCTAAGCACTGAATGTAAGATTAGACCACAACAAGCTTAATGAACTGAAACAAATGTGCATAATTACTGCAACATAATACCATTTCTGGGCCGATTTCTTTTTATTATTTGCGAATATAACTAAGTAAACAAGTCCGACTTATAGTTGAACATGGTTAAATGAAACGATAAATACACATCCAGAGTTCATATTTAAACAAATACCAAAGCCATAGTACTCAAAACTAGTTTTATTTTAAAATTCTAAGTGCTTAGCACTCATCTAGATTCCATTGTTGTGGACTTTTGCATTATAAGCACTATTTGGAATTAATGCCATAACACATACATTTTGGTTTGCAGTCTGACCTTTAGTAGTGTATTCAGTGGGCTTTGGTAAAGCCCTCTTATATAAAATTAATCTGTTCACAGTACATGTTTTTGATGGTCTTGTACTCAGAGAAACTCAGACTAAGCAATAAGTTAAACAAAACAAAAAACAAAACCACAGACAGCAATAATGAATTGCTTTTCAACTGAAACCGGGAGCTTTAAAATAGCCAAATAAAAAGGGGTATGCAGCAATAATAACCAATTATTTAATCCCTTCTCTAAAATCAATCCATTGTTAATTGGCTGTCTGAACACAGACTGGAAATTACTGAATTTTTTTTTTTTTAAAAATTACTCTTCTGCAACAAGAATGACATTTAAACCAATAAAAGCATTTGACAAGACATTAAGTTACCATAGGCACCAGCTGTTGTTTCAAGTTGGGATCTCAATCCCAATACTTTACATTCATCACATATCGAGGTAGTTAAAACACTGAAAGCTTGACTCAAGGTTGCAAGTACTGTGAAATGTGAATATGACAGAAAGTTTCCTTTTGTGTCAACATCCCCCAAGTAATTCAAGTTTTTTCAAGGCAAGAGACTTACAAATAAGGAAATACAGATAAGCGATGTTTGGGGGGAAAGTTAATTTTTAAAATGGCACTTTAAGAAAGCAAGACTTCCATATCGGGTTTTTAAAAAGTCTTACCTTGGTGTTAATCCCTACCAAACTTAAGTACTATTGGATGACTAAAGCATCCAATAAAGCATTTATTCTTTTATGAAAAAAAGGAAATAGTCTCATAAACACTGTAATTCACATATGTGGAACTACCACCTGCATCAAGTATTGGAATTTTCCTGGGAGAGTTTCCCCTCCTATGACGAGTCCCTTCTCTATTAACAGTAATACCACAACTACTTTGACTCCCGCTGCATACCCATATCTTGGCAATAACACTGACATTTGACTTTAGCATATAAAATGGCAGTCAAATATCAGCCATGTGAACTCCTTTCTACTGAAGCGCTACTTAAAAAAAATATCTTTAATGAACTTAACTCATTTTTAAGCCAGGAAGACTCCCTTCACCACACCTCCCTCTCCTCCCACAAAGAACATAATATATAGCTAATCGCATAGTTATTGTAATATGTTTATTTTCTCCTCTTTTAACTTACTACTCCCCCCACCCCCAACACTCCTCAGCCCCCAAATTGCTCTTGTGGTCATGATTACTGCTGCATCCACTGATTAACAAGGCAGTGGAATTTCAGAGAATAAGCCAGTCCTTGTACTGCCAGCTGCCATTAAAGCAATTTTGTGTAAGCACCCTTAAATAACATTTATTCGTTGGACCCAAAAGTTAGTTATAAATCTCTGTCTCTCGTGAAACAGAAAGTGCCATCCTGGCACAACCTGAGAACCTTTCCTTACAAACACTTTTTTTTTTTTTTAGGCTCTGCATTTTATAACCGTGCTACCTTTAAAAAAAAAAAAAAAAGAAAGAAAACTGAACTATCAGATTGGGGATAAGTCAAGAATTGCAATAAGAAATACAAAACCTACACACAGACATATAAAAATGAACCACAGGTACAACCACTTTATCAGGCCTGTGCTAGGATCCTATATTCTCATTTGAAAGCATGTGGAAGTATTTTGGCCTAATTACAATTTATAAATATTTATAAATTCCCCTGGCTGTCAATACTCTCAATGTCTCAAAAGCATGCTGCATTACAGTTAAGTGTTTCCAAGTAGTGCAAATTCCCTGAGTTTGTACGTGTTTTCATCTAAACTTCAGGCAAATATGTATGTATATTAAAAACCATAATTTTGTAAACAGACAAATTTTGCCCTTAATCTGTTTATCCAAATACACATACTATTTGTAAGAGGAAGTTATGTAGGATAATTTCTACTAATGAATTTAGTATTATTCTACAGCAGAGACTGATACTGTAGCACAGCACTCAATGAATTTGAATGTAGTCAAAATTAATCTATAAATCAAGTATATTATTCAAAAACATCAGAATATACAAAAATGACGTCTTCAAAAAGTAATACTGCAAATTTCCTTCATACAAAAACTGTTTGGCAAGTCCACAGAAAAGTGGTTTTCCTTGAGATAAATGTCAGCATAAAGTTTATCACAAGACAAACCCCATTACAATGAAGTAGGAACTGTCCAAATTATTTTTTTTCTTTTTGGTAATGAATAATGCTTGAAATAATTGGACCTACACCTGGGGTTTGGAAGTTTTTGCTATACAGAGATTCTTGTGGAAATAACATGCAACAAATTTGACTCGTACATAATTATTAGTTCAGTTTTCCCATGTGTACATAATGCAATGAAAGGGATATTTTAAATTCAATTTTAGTGGGTTCAGTGTTTGAAATCTTGTTCACATTCAAGCTCTGCTTTCCTTCTGAATAGAGCTCTTTCTCTTTAATCTATATTCTTAGAAGTTATGTGAGAACAAAGTCTGGATCAATGCTTACTTTGACAAATCATCACCTCTCAAAGCATGGAGTGATGCAAGGATAATGTTCATTTATTTGATAACTCCTGTTGTAAGAAACACTAAGACATGGCTTAACCTCTACTGGTATTGCCAAGGACATACCAACACCAGTCTGCATGTGCCCAAGGCCCTGAACGCTGGTTTGTAAGCCAGTAGGACAAGTCTGTAACGTGTAGGTTGAGGTGTGAGTGCTGGTAGATACTATCTGTGGACAGTTCTGTTGTTCTGACACTGGATGGCGATACTGCAGTGCAGTCTGATGTGCTTGATGGAGATACTGAGGCTGCTGAATGTGGACTGGTCGGGTAGTTTGGGATGTAGGATGAAACACATTCAGCTGACCTTGCTGGGGGCCAGGTTGTCCTTTCTGCTTGTTTGCTTCCTTCACATCATTGTCATGGGCACTAAAATACAAAGAGACAGTAAATTATTTTACATAATTAAGTACTCATTTTTTGGTTTAATCTTACTATAATCCTCAAAAACTTTAAAAAAGATAAATTTGGCAAAAGACTCATTATGGCAATGGCTGACCTCAAAGAACCTGATATTACCAGTGTTCTCTCCAGAAAATGACTATGTTATCTTAGAGTTTGCGACAGCCCAGAGAGGAGAATGTAGCATGTGGTCTAAAATTAGATCTAGATTTAACATCAGACTTGGATTTTTTCTAGACCTAAGAAAACAAATTTTTAAAAATTCAGAGGGAAAAGATCCCTGTGATCTTACAGTCTGACACTATAAAATGAAGTCAGCTCAAGAGGAACTAAAGATGCTGAGGAATGGTTATTCCGATGAGAAAGAAGAGACATCTACAGAGAACAACACAGCCGCACTACAGGAGCTCTTTGATGAATTCAGATTTTTACAAATGTACAAAAAACAGGCACAGAACCAATCATGAATACAAGAAACGTGCCAAAGGGCTATAAACACAATAGGGAAACACAGGACGATTCCTTTATGTTCATGTAATACTTGTTTAGCTATTCTGCAATCAACAAGCATCATTTTATTTTAAGGTCTTTGCTACAACAAAAAGTGCTGGTGTAAACATTTTGGCATACATGGAACATTTCTGTCAATGAAGGTTACAGACATTTCAGTCATTTTATTGGCAAAATTCCAAATTGTTTTCTATAATGTGCGCGTTACTTTGTAGCTTCACCAACAGTGCAAGAAAACAGAGAAACATGGAAAGACTTCTATGAACTGATGTGAAGTAGAGTCAGGAGTCAGGAAAACAATAGGTACAATGACTACAATAATGCAAACAGAAGAACCATCACAAAATAATCGAAAATGAATGCTGCAAAATTAAAACAAAAGATATCAATAAAAGCCTAAGTGTTTTGTTTTTTTTAAAAAAGAATAACAGGAAGCCAGAGTGGTACAATAGAAACAATCGGAAAATTTGGGTCCCAAGCCCACACACTATGTGGCCACATTCAAGTAATTTATACTATAATTTGGTTTCCCTGTCTATAAAGGGAGAGAAAGTAAGGACCGGACCCTGTGATTTCACCGGTTTAGGGAACTCCCAAGTAAGAAAACTGCTTCTAAGAATGCAGGTCTGTATAATTTTTGCAACTTAAAGTAATAACAACTAACATTTATATGGGGTTTACTATGTGACAGATACTATGTTAAGTGCTTTAGAATTATTATCTCATTTGATCTGCACAACAACCCTGGAAGGTAGGTTTTACAGCTGAGGAAACTGAGGCAGACAGAGATTGAAGTGACTTGCCAGGATAACACACCTAGTAAGTGCATTTGAACTCAGGTCTTCCTGACTCCAGGACCACTGTACCACCTACCTTCCCCTAAGTTAATAGCATAGTATTAGAGAGTTGCCTGAGACCCTTAGAGGTGAAGTGACTTGTCTAGCATCACAGAAACACGATGTATCAGAAGTGGAACTTGAACTCAGGGCTTCCTGATTCTGAGGCCAGCTGTCTATTTACTCTGCCACACTGACTCTCTCTTCTATAAAATGAGGACAATGCTAATGAACATTATTCATCCCACAGATATGTTGAAAGGAAAGTACCCAAACATCAGTCAGCACTATAATTTTTAAGTCAAAGGCGAAACACCAGAATATCCAAAGACTATGTCCAATACAAGCATTTGCATAGTTTCTAAAGGGCTTAAGAAAAAAAATCTACATTGGGTTAATAGTCATTTCATGTAGCTGGTAGCATGATGAGTGACTGAAAAGAAGCAGAATTACTAAACTACTTTCCTTCTACCTTTTCTATCAAGAGGAACAATCTTCAGATTGAAAAGGATAGAACAGCAATGGTGAAGATAAATGAGCTGATAGTAAGAGAGTCCCTGGCTAGCCCTTAACCTGTTCTAATGACCTAACCTGACTGTAGTAGAGAACAGCCTACTTGCAGACGTGATTGCTAAATGGCTATCTGAGATAACTGACATAATTATACAGGTGCTATGCTGAAGATCAATGGTGTCCCATAGGCTATACAGATTCTGAAGACTACAGACTTTGATATCCCCTCTAGTAAATGTCGATAACAGATTGCCTTCTGGATATTTAGAAAAAGAAGCAGTGATCAGTAAGACCTGGCCTAAGGTCACTAAACTCGTAGATTAGGGGAATGCTGTGGACAAAGCATACACATGGATTTCTGCAAGGTATTAGACAAGTCTCTCCTAATAGCCTTGTGGCCAAAATGAAGAAAAGCAGATTGGGTCATAGTACAGAGAGGTACAAGGGAAAGAACGCTAGCTATAGATTCAGGTTTAGTTTTTTTTGTCATATACCCTTGACTTATTTGGGCCTCAAGTCTATTAAGACCACCAATCTGGGGTTGTGTAAAGACAGGTATACTAGTGCACTGGTGGAGCTATGAAATGGTCCAGCAATTCTGGAAAGCAATTTGGAACCATAGCATGCAAAGAAAATGATTAAATGTCCATACCCTTTGACCCAGAGATTCTACTGTTAGGCATACTTTATAACTCAAACAGGTCAGTGACAAAAAGAAAGGCCCCCCAGAGACACCAAAATATTTATGACTGCACTTTATGTAGAACCAAAGAACAAGAAACCAAGTACATACCCATCAACTGGAGAAAGGCCAAACAAGTTGTAGGGCATGGAGGAAAAGGAATACTATTACTACGCGGTAAGAAACAAAGACTGTGGCGAATTCAGAGAAGCATGGAAAGACATCTACGAACTGATACACAGTGAAGGAGAACTAAGAAAATGACAACAATGACTACAATAATGTTAAATGGAAAAAAACAACAAGAAAATGTAATGGAATATTATTTAAATTTACTGACCAAACTTGGCCTCAAGCAAGAAATATGAGGAAAAACATCTGCTCCCATTTATTCTGTTTTAATAGCTTTAAGAAAAGAGAGACAAGGGAAGGAAAAAAGAACATACTGAGAAAGAAAGGAGGAGGAGGAGAATGGAATTTGTGATTTTTCATAACTGGGGTACATAAAAAGAAGAAAATATAATCATGAGCTAAGAAATGGGACTAATAGGAAACACATGAATCACATTCTTATTTGAATCAAATAGAGGACCACTGAACACATGGAGTGTGGTGAAGTGAGTGATACAATGAGCTCAATAAGCAATCAGAGAGGGTGGAATCAGGGAAGAAATAGTCACAAACAACCCAAATTTCAACTTCTAAGGGAATATTTTAAGGGAGAGTAAAAATCAATGGTCAGAGTTTCGTCTAGGGGAAGAGAGGAGGGGCAACAGAATGGAAGCAGATTGATTCTATTATGTATCACTAGTGTTAATCATTCTCTTCTTTCTCATCTTCTTTGTAAAGAGGATGGGATTGGGGCAAAGAAGGAAAAGCACAAGAGAATATAATGAGGAAAATATGCAGTTAACAATCATAACTAGGAACATAAATGGTATGAACTGACCCATTAGAGAAGACAGAATTAGACCAGAAAGAAGAACTTGACAATATATTGTTTCCAAGAAAGAAACTTGAAAGATTCACATAGAATGAAGGGCTGGAAGAGCATTATGCTTGAGGTGAACTCAAGAAAGCAAGCGTAGCAATTATGATCTTAGACAAGGCAACAATAAAAAAAAGACAAGGTTAAATGAGATAAAAAGGAAAACTTTATTATCCTTAAAGGTGCCACAGACAATGAAATTACATCAATAGTTAACATATAGTCATTAAATGGAACAGCATCAAAATGCTTAAAGGAAAAATTAAATGTTGCAAATATATACATATGTATACATACACACATCCATATATATGTAGTATATATATATAAATGTAGAAAGAGAATCTATATCTACACACACACACACCCCTCGGTTGTACTTGTCACCTTTACAAAAGAGGTGACCATATTTTAGGGCATAAAAACTTCATTAACAAATGTAAAAAGGCAAAAATTGTAAACTCTTTATTGACCACAATGTAGGAAAAATTATAATAAAGAACCTTTGAAGAAAGGATCCAATCTTAAACGAGAGAGTAAGCAGTTTAATCTTTAAGAGTTGATGGGTCAAAGAACAAATCATAGGAACAGAATTTCATGAAAGAAAATTAAAAAAAAAATGAGAAATGTTAATACTTTGAGATATAAAATGGAGAGGAAAATTTATATCTAAACACTTTCATAAACAAGAGATAAAGAACAGATGAATCCGTATTATAACTAAAAAAACCCCCTAACAAATCCAAAAACTCCAACTAAATAAAAAAGAGATGAGCCAAATGAAAAGAAAAAAATAAACACTGACTCCATAAATAAAACTAGGAGCTTTTTTTTAAAGAGTAGTTTCAAAAATGTAAATAATTCACAACAAAAGAGGGAATGAAAGAAACTATCAGAAACTATTTTGCCCAATATGCCAACAAAGCTGATAACTTAGATGAAATGAATATTTATGAAAAAATAAAATACTGAGATTAAGAGGAGAAATAGAGGATTTGAACAAAACAATTTCCCCCCAGAAACACAGATGGAACAATCTATAAGTTTAGTACTGGGAGAGAGGGGTGACAATGAAGAGAAACATGACTAGATGGATTTAAAAGTGAATTCTATCAAATACTACAAGAACAATTAACTACAATTTAATATAAGCTATTGGAAAAAACAGGAAAAGAAGGGATCCTACCAAATTTCTTCTGATACAAATATGGTCTTGGTACCTAAACCAGGGAGAGACAAAGAGGAGAAAGAAAGCTAGAGACCAATATTCCTAATGAATATTGACAAAAAAATATTAAATGAAATATTAGCTAAGTGTCTAAAGCAACATATATATTAAAAAGATTCTACACTATGACTAGATTGGATTTATACAAGGAATAGAGTTACTTCAATTATGTAAGAAAACTATAAACATAGTAGACCATATTAATGACAAAAGAAATTTTTTTAAAAAAAATCACAATTATAATCAATAGATATAAAAAAAACCCCAACCTTTGAGAATAGAAAACATCCTTTTATATATTTAAAAAGGCAAAACAAAACACCACCACACACTAGAAAACATAGGAATAAATGAATATTTCCTTGGTTCCTCTAAAACCAAGACCTATATATAATGGAAAAACTCTAGAAGTCTTTCAATTAAGATTAAGGGTCAATCAAGGATGATCACTGTCACTGCTATTATTTGGCACAGTCCTAGAACTGCTAGGTAAAGCAATAAGAAAAAGAAACCAAGGAAAAGGAATAAGCAAAGATGAAACAAAATAGCACTTTTTACAGATGATATGATGGTTTATGTAGAGAATCCCAGAGATTCAACTAAAAATTAATTGAAACAATAACTTCAGTAAAGTAGCAGGATATAATAAAAATCACAAAAATCATCTTTCCTGTATATTACCAACAAGCCCAACAGGAAGAAATAAAGATATTCTATTCAAAATAACTACAGAATGTACAAAATATTTAGAAGTCTAACAAGTAAGACCAAATACAACTAGAAAATACTCTTTCTGGAAATAGAGACCTAAATAATTGGAGAAATATTCATTGCTCATGGATGGATAACAATGTAATAAAAACAATAATTCTACCTATATTAATTTATATTTTTAAATTTAGTATTCAGTTCCATAATAAGGAAACTACCAAAGGGTTACTTGACATCAAGCTAGGAAAAAACCCAACAAAATTCATCTTCTGGTAAAAAAAAAAAAATTAGTAATAGGGAGACGAAGAGGGGGATGGGAAGAAAGGGAATATAGCATTACCCTATCTGAAACTGTCCTATAAAGTAGTAATTATCAAAACATATTTTGTAGTGGTTCACAAAATAGGTTAAGTGATCAGTGGAACAAATTAGAAACATTAAGATCCAAAAGGCAATAGAACCTCAACTATTAAAGTAAAGACTTACTATTCAATGAAAATTGCTGAGAAAACTGGAAAGCTGCTAGGCAAAAATTAAATTTAGACTAACATCTCATACCATATACCAAAATAAGCTCCAAATAGATATATGGCCTAGATACAGTTTATATGGATAGCAAAGTATGAAGTTAAGTAGCAGCTGATGTTCCTGACTGCCTTTTCTTGGTGATAAGGTAAGCTTTCCTCATCTTCCCCTTCTTTGAAAGTCTTGCAAATCAATCTTTCAATGGCTTCACAATTTTATCATCATCTCCAGTAAATATTGACTCTTTATATGGTCAACCTAATCTGATTGGTTTTCCAATCTCTGTTCTCTTTAAAACCATTTATACCTCCTCTAAAAGCACACTAGAAACTGTGATGTTAAAATCTAAGTTCCATCATCCTTCTCTGTAAGAGTTTACTAACAAGTTTACATTCTAAACTAGTGTTATGCTCAGCTGTAATCTCTTTCAGCTTGGCAAATTAATGAAATATTTGATATACATTGGTTAGATTTCTGTATGAGTGCCTGCAGTCTTGTGTCTATGTCTTTGTCCATCTATACCCCATTTTTCATCATCAAGAACTTGTTTAAATAGATCACAAGTGGGTTGTTTTAATTGTACAGCATATCTTTCTCATTTTCATTTTTTTTCACCTAGCCTTTATTATTTTTTATCTTTGTTTTAACAAGTCAGTGTTCTGTCTGTATGGAAACAGCCAATCTATTTGGGTTAAAGAGTAAATCAACCATACAAGTACAATGGATATAGTTAAATAACAGTTCGTGTTCAAAGACATGGTAATGTTAGTAAACTGCAAACTCAATGAACTGACAGTGACTTGACAGTCACAAACTCTAGACAAAAGTATAATACTTCTAACAAGATAGGTGGTATTCCCACTGTACTCTTCCCTATTCAGCCCACATCTGGAACACAATGTTTAATCCTGGGTTCCACCTTCTAAAATAAAATTTGACAAATCAGAAAGTGCCCATAAAGGCAAAAGAATGGAGTGAATACTCAAAATATTATGCCATATGAGGACCATTTTAAAAACCTGGGTACATTTAGGCTGCAGAGAACTCAGGAGAGATCTGAAGACTTATAAAATTTGCAGAGATGTCATAAGAAAGAAGGATTAAGACAGTCTGCTTGTCTCCTAAGGACAGAACTATGACAAAAGTTAAAAAATTACAAGGGGGCAAATAGTGCATTAAAGCAAAAATGTCCTCACAATTACACTGACCTAAAAAGGAATAGACTAAATTTTGTCACCATACATATTCAAATAAATGTCCATCTACAGGGGATGTTGTAAAAGGGATTCATCCAACTGAACAAGATGTTGGACTAATTCGGGTGGGGAACCTGTGGCCTTGAGACCACAGGTTACTCACCTTTGGACTAGATTATCTCTAAGGTCACGTCCAAGTCTAGTATCTCATGCTTCTAACTACTGCTCAGATCAAAGTCATTGTACTGTTATATAAGTGATAATGTTTAGAGCAGTTTCATAATTGACCTGATCCCCCAGCTTTGATCCAAAAAGGAGAATTCCTCTCCTTGTTGCCTTTCATAGGCTGTCTCTCCTATGTCTTGATCCTGGGGAATGTCAGACTGCCATCATATATAGGCAAATAACTACTGGAAGCTATTGTAAAAATTTCCAGAAAGTCCCTAGAAATCCTAAGGTACTACTGCCACTAAGGTACTACTGCTGTACGGCAGCCCCCCAAAAAGATCTTGGAGAACAGGAGAGAAACAAAATCTGCCCAATGCAGGTCAGAGATATGGAGGAAAACAAGGATGCAAAGTCTGCTCCCTATCTCTGTCACTCACCTATTATTCAAATCCTGATAACAAGACTTTTATCTGAGTCTCTGGCTGATGTTAGGCCTGGATCCTTTCTTACAATTTTATGTCCTTAACAATATGCTCATGGAACCTAGCTGGCTGCCAGGGACAAGGTTTTTCTCAAGCCCTTTGTAAAAATCCACATGTAACAACACATAACTTGAACTGGTTGCTTCTAAAGCAACTTGTATGTTAGGAAAAATATTAGAAAAAGCTGTGATTTAAAATACTATCTAATTCAAGGAATTACAAATATAACTGTAAATAGAGGCTTACATCAATAATCGTTCAATGCACTGTACCAGGAAATCCCAAGAGTAGGCAGTCAGGCGATGTAGTCTAGTAGGCCATGTTGGGGAAAGACGAAGAATAATTCTCGATGAAGCCACACAAGCAGCGGCTACTAGAGAAGGTGCATAATTTAGAAAGGCATAATCTGTGAAGACACCAAGAATGAATTTAAGTTAACAGAAAACACACACTGACCAACTAACAAATCTTTCTTTACGAGAAACAGAAGCATACCTTGCAGTGACACTTCCAAAAAATAATCAGCATACTTCGCCATGTACAATTTAGTTTTTTCCAGACAAACCATTGGCCAGCCATCATGCAGATCTGTTTCATGGACTGCTTCAGAAAGATAATACTCAATAAAATGGGCAGCTGTTGGAAGGCAGAGGTTCCATTGAAACGTTTCTAACAGCAATAGCTCCATGTGTAGTAAATTTTGTTTTGTTAATACTAGATTCATGTTAGTCATACAGCCAAGGCTGTTCAGCTGCTCTAGTTTGGGCACACTATCTTCCTTTTCCTCAAATTTACCTTGGAGAACAAAAACACAAAAGGAAATAATTAGGCAGTAGGAAATTTCAGCCAGTCAATGAAATATTATTCATCTGCCATCAAAATGTGATACAGCTGATCCAAAGAAAAAGTCTCTTCCTTCTAAAGCATATAAAACATGGAATTACCCATTTTTTTCCCCCTACTGGTTCTACAGATTACCTGATATGGTTAATCATTTTCCTCCGAGAATTCAAAACTATGGAACATAGTAAACATTTGGATGTATAGTCTAATGCAAGATGAGAATAGAGGTAACCATGTGAAAGAAAAACAAATTATCTTACCAGCTAAATCTCAGTTTGATTTAAGGTCCAAAATAATAGGTTAACAATCCTTTTAAAGAACAACAACAAAAAACCCCTCACCCTTTTCTACTTCTTTCCCTTTGAGGTAGGATGTCATTCTGGGCTTTTTTTCTAAACTCAAAAATACTTCAGTTTTTAGAAAAATAAACACTTCATCATCGGAAATAGAAGCTTGAAAAGACTGAAGAAATTGAATTCTGTTCCCTCTCCCCACTCCAAAAAGATGGAGATAAAGAATGTTTGATGTGGAAGGAAATTCAGGTACTGCTCTGTCCGACCCCTCCTTTCAGAGATTAGAAGATGGACCCAGAGATGTCAAGTGATTTGCCTAAAATGAGGATTCTTAACTTCTTGGGGGATCATGGAACTCTTTGGCAATCCAGTGAAGCCTATGGACCCCTTATCAGAGTTATGTTCAAGTGCATAAATAAAACATATAGGATGGGGAATGAAACCCATTATAGTTAACACATTTTTTAAAAAAAGTTAAAAGATCCTCTGAAGGCTATCCACAAACCCCTAGCTTAAGAACCCCTGGCTAAAGGTATGTGGCTAAAGTTATCTATACCTCGTTAAAAGTAGACCCAGGGACTCAGATCCAGGTTTTCTGACCTCTAAGTCCCCTATTTTCTACTATGCCAACAATCACTCTCTTGCTCCTTTAGGAGGTAAATTAGAGTACGATTTAAAAGACAAAAATGACAATTATTCAGAACCAACGAAGTCTCAAGGGTTCTAACTTCCTCTTGAGAAAAAGTGATTTAGATCCATATGCAAAGACTAATATTAACCTGACTGTTGAATGATGAAGACTTAGGAGAAACGATCACTCTTCTCGAGGAGACAGTTACACTTTATACTTCAGTTTTCAATCATTTAGGCATTATCTTCATATAACCATAAAATTTGGGTAACGACCTCAAGAACTCATCTGGTCCAATGTGCTAACTACATCCCAGTACAATCATTACCTCCATTTTAGGGATGAGGTAACTGAGCCTAACTTGTTCAAGATCATCTTGTAAATGGTAGAAAAGGAACTCGTCCTCCTGTTTCACTAAACTAGGTCTTTATCTCTTGAAGTACCTTCACTATCACAAAAATGTGTCCATGTGAAAAATAACAATGTAACAACACTAGCTTCAGTAGCCCCTCCGTGGCTGTCGCAATAGCATACACCATGCACATTTACAACATTTCCCCCTCCATCAGCTCATTTCCATGCTAGTTAGTTAGCTGGTGACACTTGACTGCATCAAGTCATGGACTCATTATAGATAAAATTCATATATAAAATTGCTGGTATGAAATCTGTCTATCATCCAGAATTTTCAGACATAGTTTGTAAATAATTAGCCCAAATTACCATGCCTAAATTTTCTAAGCTTCAAACTATCAACACCTATTTATGTCTAGGGAGCTGCTCTAAAATAGCCTTAACCTATAAGACAATGATTCCAAATTATTGTAATGTGAAGATACAGGAGATTAGTTTATTGGTCTGACACTAACAAAACAAAATTCTTTAGAATGAGTAGTGAATTAGAAATGTAAACCAAAACTCTGCCTTGCCAACTACAAAGTGGCAATAATACTTGCCATGTACTTCAAAGGACAGTTGTACACCTTAATTAATGAGAGATTTGTGTTTGAAGTTGCTTAGAAGAAAGATATTTATTATTACCAGACAGTGTCAGCTGAAATTCTGGTACTCCACTGCTTGATTCAAAGAGCAAGAATGCTTTATATTACCTCATTGAAACTTCAACCACCTAAACAAAGGACAAGGTTACTAATTTTACAGATGAAGCAGAGAAGGTAGGCGCTTCACCAAAGGTCATCAAAGCTGGGTATCACTGAGAATAGAAGCTGGAGAGCTGATCTTTCCAAGCCCACATCTGGACTTGTAGATCAAAGCATAGCAACTTGACTTCACGTGCAAGACTATTACCTGAGTAGGCAGGGGCTTGTTATGAAACCTATATTAATAAGCATTTATAGGAACTTTGTATTTACCAAGTAGTTATTAAGTAAGTGAATATTTCATAATTTATTGACTTTAGAAAGGCAGCATATCTTTAAATAACCACATCTGGGATTTTTGCTTTGCTTCAGATGAAAATTTTGGAGAATCTTTTTTTCCCCCATTTACAGCTAATGATATATCTCAGCTATCTAAGCACTTCACTCCAACTAGTTAAAGAAAAAAAAAAAAAGCACGTCCAAAAAATCTAAATTCTGGGCCAAGAATTAGCACTGTGTTTCCATGAGGTTCCACATCAGGTACAATGTCATTGAATAATAATATTAAGTATAAAAAGGAAAGTAATACTCTGCAAGTTAATGGGTTTTAAAAGAGATTTACTTCTCTGATCATAAACCCTAACAGAGCCAGACAAGTGGCACCTGCCTACACACTAAGAGCCTTCAAAAGACCTTTCTTGACTTTTGGCTTCATCTAGACTCTGAGGGAACACTAAAATGGTTATATATTAATATGAAATGAAGTAACTTTTGGGACAAATGATAGAAAAAGAAAAAAGCTAATCATTAAATGTTTTGGCCAAAAAACAAAACAATTTAACCTTTCCGCACAAGTCAAATGCCTGCCATGATAGAGAAAGTTATATATGGTAAACTGTTTTATCTACACTGGGGCCTACTTGTGAACCCAGGAGGAGACCAGGTACATGCTTAGACTAAACAATGATTTGGCTATGTTCTATTCTAAGTCACAAGGGATGTGATTGAATCTAGAATTACACAGAACTATCCTAGAATGGATCAGAATCCATGAGGATTAAATGCTAAGTAAATGCTATATGGTTGTCCAATTAGAAAGACAAATCAAAAATAATAAGCATTTAAGTATCTATATCTCAGGTATAGAGGACACAAAGATGAAACAAAAAATTCCCTCAAGGACCCAACAGATTATGTAAACAGACAAATAAATCCATCCTGATTTAAGAAGGGAGCAAACACTAAGGATAAGCGGAGGATGAGGAAAGGCTTACGGAATTGGTGTACACATGAAGGTAATCATCTTCTAGTTGGCACAATCTATGCCTACAGGTTCCAGGGTCTTTCTACCAACTATACCTAGCCAGATCGCTCCTCTAGCTGACGCTGCACTTCAGCGAGCCACAGCGTTATGTCTGGGATTGCCTTCTGCAGACTCCGGGCAGAGCCGAAGGTGGAAGACCAAGGTCTCAACATCATATTCTAGGGCAACAGTTCTTAACACGGGGTCCCTGGATGCACAAGATCCATGGAGAGACTGCAGGGGATCCTTGAACTTGGATGGGAAAAATATTTTGATAACTTTGTGTCAACAGAACTGATTTTCTAACTCTATAGATTTTATTGTATTTGTTTAAAAAATGATTATGGGAATCCATGACACAAAAAGTGAATCTCTGCCCTAGGGCCAGATCCCGAGACTGGAAAGCCTCTACTTCATCAGTACTTTTTAAAAGCACGAGATGGGGATGCGGTGGGAGGAGTGCAGTTCCTTACCAACTAATAGGCCAAAATTTAGGATTTTAGATGCTGAATGGTAGGGGCCTCTGTCATTTATTACCCTAAGACACCCACAAGGGACTGAGATGCCAGTCATGGAGAAATAGTGGCTTCCTGAGGTCATCATTTCAAGGTCTGTAATCTCCCTTTTTCCCCTGTCCCCAGCCAAGGGAGGGGTGCCAGGATTATTTGAGAGAGGGGAAGGGGCCTTGGCACAGGGGCAGCACCAATCTTGTTTCAATCTGGTAATAACAATTCACATTTCCTTAGCACTTTTGAGATTTAGAAAAGTGATCTTTTGACTAAATGAAATGCTGATGTTCCACAAGGCTAATGACAACAGCAAAAACTATCCTATTCTGCAAATACTTAATGTGTGTGACCTGATAAATACAACTTCAAAATTTGTAAAATATTAAGCCACAAAGGGTTACCAACCCACAAAGCTACTAGGCTAGCTGGAGTCCTTAGAAAAGCAAGCAGTAGCTTTGGACATCAAAAAAAGGTTTACCTTAAAGAATGGTCTATCTCTGTAAAATAATCGTTTTAATTCTGCCTAGGTTGCCAGAATACCTAGGGCCAGCCCTGGGGCTTGTGAAAAATTGCTTTCCCTTCCCACAAATGCATATACCTGAGACAATCTCTTTCACATACAGATGTCTAAGTGAAGTAATTACAACTTATTTGAAGATTAATTGTTAGTAGATAAACAAGAGCTTTCTCTTTGGCTCCTCTGGGAGACATAAAGGCTCTGGGAACAATAGATTAAGGTATCTGGGTGAGTGACAGAAGGCAGTTTTGTGTAGAGGATGGGAAAATGGGGGAAGAGCTCAATTCAACAGAAGCTAGACTGTAGAAGAAACTATTGATTTCATGGTTATCCCAGCCTGATACAACAGAGAAGGCTGGGTTCCACAGGAGACACACATGGGAGCTCTTAGGTGGCTAGTGTAGGAGAATACACTAAAAGGACCAGGAATATAAACATGGAATAAGAAAGACCAGAGTCTAAATGGGCTAAGCAGAGAAGGCCAGAGAGAACTGCCTTGGCTGGTTTCAGGGTAGATTTCATCTCATAATTCAGGAAGTAACAACAAGGTAGCAGAGACTCTATTAGAAGTAGAAGTTTAATCACAGTGACTGGAAAGTAAGGCCCAAGTACTAAACTGGACAACAATGGACTTTACACAGGAAAGTAATTACAGTGTTGCTATGAAGCTCACACCCCTACTTATTCTCATGACCCATATTTAAGTAGTTTTGATAGCACTAAAAATGTTGGGCTTGAGATTATGCTGTTGTCATCATACTTACTAAAACGAGTATGATGGCTCCAAAACCTCAAGCCCCAAAAGAAGGTAAGTCCTCCCTCATGTGCTGGTGGTAATTACAGGCAATACAACTACACTCTGCCATGATGACAATGAGAAGGTGGATAGTAGGAATCCAGGCTGTTTAAAAGCTTCAATTTATGCTTCCAACACAAACTTCTAAGACAGATAAGCAGCAGAACTAACTAAAACCTTCCTGGTCCTGACACATCTTTTGGTGTGAGTGTTGACAAGCACTGAAATAGCTCAGGGACAGGCATCAAGACAGAGATACAGCTATTGGTTATCTATTGTTACATTATCTACTGTTAACTTAAAACTGATAAGGCCACCAGTCATCCACTTATCAAATAACTATGCAATGCTGAGGCTAAAGGTAGACTTGAACAATTGCATGTTTAATTTTCTACAGAGATACAACTGTAGACACGTGAGTCCCTCTCTAAAAGGGGAGCACACAAGGTTCTTGTTTGTTGTGGTCCAAAACAAGATTCTGTAATGGTCATCCAAATTAATCTTCTTACAAAACAAATTTGAAGGGACGTTTTCTAGGTCCTCTCCGTTTAAAACAACACATCAGAGTTGGTCTTCATATCAATAGTAAACTCTTTCCAACTTTGTCAGAGTACAAACTTACTTGCTAAAAGCAAACAGGAAAGTGCAACTAAATGCAGCTGCTGGATGGAGATGTCGTATCTATCCATAAAGAGGTCGAGCAAATAGACAGCGAGATGTCGTGCCGCGGGGCAAAGAGTGAATCGATTGCTCACAATAGCAATCAGGTCTGCAAAATACCGCCTGAGATTTAGCTGAGGAGACTGGCCTTTATAGGTGGGCAACTTGAGCTCCTATAAGAAAAGCAAGAATGCCTAGCATTAGACAAAACCCAGAGAATGAACTATTTCAGTGGATACAAATATTTTATGCAAATTTGCTTTTAAAAGATTAAATGATATACTACTTGTTATTTCTAATGACTGAAACACTTTGAGTAAAATAGAAGGAAACTGAGAACACATTTAATAAATGGCCTAAGAATAAGACTTAATTTTAAAAATTATTCTTTTCTAATTCTTTAGTGTCCCCTTGCTACCTCTGCTGTGACTTAATAAGTACCTTGGTGGTACAGGTAATTCAAATTCAAAGTGATGAGAAGGAAGCTCTAGAAAATTTTCTCACAGAATCTTATCCAAATAAAGATCTCTCATGCTTTATGAAAAGGCTGCATTCCAGTAAGGGGATTTTTTTTTAAATGGAGAGGATTCTTATTTTCTTCTTGATTTCCATCATAAAATCTCCATAATCAAAACATCTCCATAAGCAAAAAAATATCAGAAGAGCCTAAATACTTTCAGATAAGAAGGAATTACAGGCATACTCATCTGAAGTTACTATTCTGTAAAAAAAGTTTGGATAAAACAATGTTCAAGGAGCAATTAGCTCCATAGGAACCCTATTATAAACATGCAACCAGTCAAAAGATATTACATTAAGATTATAATACATTAAAATCAATATACAAAATGACATTGGTTAGGGCAACATTCACTTGAATACATGTCTGTTGATGGTGGCCAGTTCCATCATAAGTTGGCCACTATCATACACTAAGAACTATATGTCTTTCAGAAGTCTAGTCCACATTAATAGTCTTTTCCCCCTTTTTATCTCTTTGTTATTAGAGGAATACATGCACAGACAAAAGTTTTCTTAACTCATATCGATAACCTCTGGCTCCTTGGAAACTGAGTAGGGAGAAATAGGAACAATTCTCCCAAGAACAAAGGTCACTTTTTTACCTACACACTCGTAGCTCCTAGACCTTGCTCCAACTGTTGGAGCATTTATAACATGTGATGCAACCGTCATAATACACTCCAAGTATATATCACCATTTACCAGGTTAGACACTCTTGCCTGAAAGCATGCTAAGTACATGTTTCTCATCTTAACTAATTCTCTAAAATCTAGAGGTTACATTTACTTAAGACAAGGAAAACTTCTGTTAATCACTCAACACTCAAGTATTATGGCATGAAAAACAGTAACACAAAAGATTTTAAGACTTTATCAAAAACATTAAGATTGTGTATTTAAGAAAGAAAAAAAGAAAGGCATTGGCTATGTTGGACAACCTTTAGACCAATCCAAAATAAGGCAATACAACAAACTATATTTCTTCAAGCTTGCAAATTTCTCTTCTCCTACTACCCAGTAATAAACTTCTTTCTCAATTCCCTGCAGAATCCAAGTTCCACACAAGACTTGACTTGGTCAGCACCCTCTATCCCATTTATCAATTCCCAATTAGATAATCCCAAACTCCATTCTCCTCAAGTGGTTTAATCATTCTAACAATATTAAAGTGCAGACAGGTGATATCCTTAAGGATGGGAACAGCTAATTAATCTTACAAATGAAGAATTTTCTTAAACTTATCACCAAAAAAGCTGGAATATTCTTTTTTCAGTTTCTCTAAAAATTACTATTTACTTAGACGTCCCTAAAAAGCCTTCAATATCCTTGTAGGACCCTAGGATGAAGGCTAACAGAAGAAGAGGAAAGGGTAGAAAAATACCCAACTGTCACACAGTTTTTGATCTTAAGACATTTATAACCACATAGCCCACTCACTGGGAAAGTAAATTTGATAAAGTAAGCCAATTTCTTGGAACTCTCTCAGAAGAATTTTACTTCAATTCAGCGTAAAAAACATTTAAGAACCTGTTTTGTGCAAAATGCTCAGGATATAAAGATAAAAATAAAATCCAACTGCAAATCTATACAACTAAAATTGAGAAATTGCAAAAATATTTTTATAATACGTAATATAATTGTACCTGGATAACCTATATCAGATTGCATGCTGTCTTGGGGAGGAGGATGGGAATGGAGGGAGAGAGAAAAATTTGAAAATCAAAACCTTATAAAAGTGAAATGTTGAAAACTATCTTTACATGTAACTGGAAAAAAATAAAATACTATTAAGGGGAGGAAAAATATCTTCATTGATTTGTACTCCAAGAAAAATCTATCAAAGTTTATATGAAATAAGGAAATTTGTATTCTTGGCACTCACATTGTTCATACAGTGGGAGGAATATCATTCCAAAGGGAAGAAAATGTTCAAACTGAAAATGAAATTTGCATATAAAAGAAGTATTCCATAAAAATGTCAGTTTTCAAAGTGCAAAGTTAGCAGCTCTATTCACAACTTTCCTGAGGCATAGAATAGGTATCATTACAACAAAGTTCTCACAGGATTGATAGAGCTAAAATATTTACTAGGAAGACCTCTATTCCCTGATTAAGATTTTAAATTAATAAGCAGTCCTTCAGAAATCTTAAATCTACTAATAAACTACTTAGCTGAGATAAATAAATTGATACTTTCAAACCAAGGACAGCTGATCCTATATTCTAAATCAAAATTAAGTTTCACAATTTAGTCAGCTCATTCTTCTGAGAAATTACCTAAATTCAAGATCCTTTCTACAGAGGATTCAACTGTCATGTTTTCCCTTCTTCTTTCATTTAAGTAATGACCCAGACCTAAAACTGAGTGGGATTTAAAAGCAGTTAGATAAGACACCTTTGAGAGTTATAGGGAAAATGAGATAAAGAGATGGCTCATTGGTAGGCATAAGGACTTTTTACTTAAAAACACATAAAAAAAATCTACCTCTGACTATACCAGTAAATACATATTGTTGAAAAGATGGTAACAATAACTATACCAGATCTACTTTTATACTTCCTGCAATACATCTATGGATTCAGAATTCAATTGTTAACAGAATTCTCAGGACCTGAATGAAGTGTCTGCCCCTTCCACTCTTTTAGGCTGCCTTTATAATGCTATTCAGTCTCCAAGGAGCAAAGCAAGAACAATGTAAGTTGTTAAGGAATCCTTTCATGTATTAAAGCCTCCAAATTGTACATAACTAAATAAAAGTGAAAGGGAACTAACTGGCTAATACACAAAGAGAAATTAAGATCTCTTCCCTGCCCACATCCCCAAAAGTTAACTCAATTATTCTTCCTACAGTTGACTGCTTAACCCATTTTAGAAACTAATAGTGCAAGAAGGGTCTTGCCATTTTTTTTTTGGGTGAAGCTTTTTTCTAATTGACACATTTTTGGATTTTTGAGATACAGCCCAAGAAATGGATTAAGGAGGTGACCAGAGAACTAGGCAAACTCAGCCATTTCCCCTTTCCTGTTCTAAGACTACAATGAGCTAAGATCCTGAGCTGAGATCCCGGAATCTTGGTTCTCAGGCATGAGCAGATTCCTTGTGATTAGCAGATTATCTAACCCGGGCCACCTGAGGAGATGGGGAAGCATTCAGGATTACCTTGTATCTTAGAGCTTGATGGATATCAGCAGCCAGCTGTCCTTTCCACCACTGCCCCTCCAGCTCCATGGAATGGGATGGGAAGCTTAGCCAGATCCAACAGCTTCAGTCTATAAGCACATATATATACACGGGCAATTTACTGAGAGGAACATTGGGATGCAGTTAATCTCCCACCCTGCAAATATGCTCAAAAATCAATATCACCTGTCTCCCCCAAAGCTTTAAGACCTTAGAAACCTGATCACCCCAACCCAGCATTTATGAAGTGTATGCAAGGTACTGGGGTTGGGCTCTGAGGATTCAAAGACAAAGCAGTCCCTGCCCTTGAGAAACCTACAGTCCTTGGAGGTGAGGGTGGGAGATAATTAGAGGAAAGAGAGATCACTGACAACGAAGAGGTCGAGGTCTCTAAAGGAGAGTAGCGGAATTAAGCCTTAAGAAGCCAAGGACTTCAAGAGTTGGAGGTGAGGGGGAGAGAGGGAAGTCGAGGAAGAGAGCTTGCATAAAGGCACAAAAGTGGGGTATGGGATGCTGAGCTGGCCTTGGCAGGCATGACCAGAACCAGGAGTTGGAGCAGATTCAGAGCTGGGAGCTCAGGGAGCCTCAGAACCACCAGCCCCAGGATGAAGGCAGCCCTGCCGGCACCAAGGGCAGCGGCCGTCCCTCCACCCCCCCACCCCCCGCCCAGGCAATCAATAAGCATCGATCTATCTAGGTACCTTCGAGGCAGCAGGTGCTACTAGGGGCTGGGGTCCAAGGCGGAACTGACCCTCCCTTCACAGGGCTTCCGCCCTATGGGGAAGACACTTGCCCATCAAAGTAAATCACACAGAGACACAGAGACACACACACACACACACACACACTCACTCTCTCTCAAACTCACCCCTATGCACGCATCCCTAGGAGCCTGACCCGGTGCGAGGTACCAGGAAGCCAAATCCCAGGACGAAGCTTTGCCTGCCCTCAAGGGGCTTACATTCTATCGGGACAAGCATCCCTAGGCGCACGCGGATTATTAGTCCTCCACGACACCGCCCCTGCCCTCACTGGGCTTCCATTCTACCGGGAAACCCATACTGGCCCATCTAAGTACGAAGTGCACGCGCGCGCCCCCTCACACCCCAAGGCTGCTCTCCGGCAGAACCAGACAGACAGACTGACGGACCCGGCGGGCGGGCCGGCGGCGGCTGGGCGCGGCTCCGGGCCGAGAGTCCGAGCCGGACAAAGGGCCCGTCCGCCGGGGCCTCCGCCCTCACGCCGACTTATCCCGCACCTTCCCCGCCCCCTTTCTCCGAACTCCGATCACTCACCCAGAATCCCTGCGCTCAGTGCTCGGGCCAGGGCCTGGCTCATCATGCGCGGGCGCCCCCGGGCCCCAGGCTCGGCTTCAGCCCCAGGACAACCCGCTCTCGCCGCTCATTGTTAAAGGGCCGGGGAAGCGGCCGTGTGTACAAAGCCAGCGCTGGGGCACATGCCGGACCCGCCTCCGCCAATCCTGTGTCGCCTTACAGCGGGGTCGCCCTGGCCCGTCCAATCAAGAGCCGCAGCCTGGAGATCCAGGTACTCCGCTTCAAGCGTCTACTTGGTAACTCTGAGAGCGCTTTAAGCACTAGGCATGCTCAGTTGGGCTGCAGGAGCTGGGTCGGGGCGGGGAAGTGCTCCGCCGACGCCGATGCCGATGCTGCCGCCGCCGCCGCCGCCGCCGCCGCCGCCGCCACCCGGGCTGACTTTTTGACTTGGTCCGGCAGGGCAGGGCAGGGCGGGGCGGGAAGGGGCGGGAAGGGGCAGGGCGTGAGGAAGGTGGGGAAGGCTGACACTGACAAGGCTGCTGGCAACCGTACGAGTTGTTTGACTCTACCAGTAAACCCAGTGGAGGTGATGTTCTGCTTCCTTACCTTTTCACACTTTTGTGTGTATGCGATTATATATGGAAATGTTTTACACACATATACAGACATATAGGTTTATATGAATAAAATTATAAAATAACGAGTGATGTTAAACACATGGGAAAATCCAGATAAATGTTCCCTTCTAAGTGGTCACCTTCTTCTTACAAAAGGAGGCTGTATGGACGCGTATTCAATTCAATTCAACAAACTTATTGAGCATCTAATGTTATAAATGAAAATAATAAGAACATATAAAGTAAAAAAAATAACACACCAACTGCGAGCAAGGCACTGCGCCGGGGACAAGGAGGAAAGTGTTTAAGATATATAGATAAGGATGGTAGGAAGTTGAAACAATTGAGAGCAAAGCAGAGATCTAGGACTGAGGAGGAAGAGGACTTTTTTTAAGCTGGAAGTATCAGGGAAAGCTACCTCAGGAAGATGTACCAAGCTGAACCTTATAAAAAGATTGTAAGAAGCAGGAACAACAGTAATAAAAATCTGATGGTGTTTTATGGTTTTCTTTAAAAAAAAAATTTTTTTTTTTTACATTTTAAGTTCCAAATTCTCTGCCTTCCTATAGCCCCTCTCCCACCCACGCAGGGGGCAAGCAATTTGATATCAGTTAGACATCCTGTGAAGTCATTCTAAACATGGTTTTATGGTTTCCAAAGGCCCTTACATTTAATTCTCAAGGCAACTCTTCCAGGTAAGTACTACAGGTATTATACCCATTTTACAGGTGAGGAAACTCAAATTAAGTGACTTGCCCATGGCCATACTACTACTAGTGTCAGAGATAGGATTTAAACTGATGTATCTCCTAACCCCAAGACCACTGACCTTAGAGATAAAGGGGTGCTTCCTAGCCATGAGAGAAGACAGCCTGAACGAATGAAACAAAGCAGGAGAGATCCTCTTGAGTTATTTGATCAACACATTAAGGAGCCTGAAGGGGAGTAATGAGAAATAAAGCTGGAAAGGTAGGTTGGAGCCAGATCATAGAAGGCCTTAAATGCCAGCCTGAGAGTTTGTATTTCATCTTGGGCATATTTTGAGTAGAGGAGAGACATGGCCAGCCTTAGGAAAATAATTTTGGTAGATTAGGGAGGGAAGAGACTGAAAGCAAGAACATCAGTTAAAACTGAGGCTCCTGCAATTGCCCAAACAAGTGATAATGAGAGCCTGAGCTGCAATGAGGCAGGCAGAAGTGGGGAGGAAGCAGAGGTGAGATGTGGAGGCAGAATTGATAGGACTTGATATCTGGTGTGATGGGGGTTGGAGTCAAAGATAACTCTGCTTTGTGTTTCAAACATGGATGTTTGGGAAGATGGTAGTGCCATCAGCAGAAATGAGGCAGTATGAGGTAGTATGAAGGAGGATGATAAAAGTCCTCATTTCTAATGATTCTTCCATGGCTCAAAGTATTTTTAGAACACCTCTGGGAATTGCTGCCTATGACACATTCTTAGAACCAAGGATTTAGGGCTAGGCTTTAAAGGTCATGGGTACAACCTCCTCCTTTTACAGATGAACACACTAAGAGAGGCGAAATGATTTTTTCAAGGTCACAGAAGTGGTAAACAGAAAAGCTGGGGATTGAATCCAGATCCTGTAACTGAACACAGGGCGCTTTCCATTTCACTACACTGTACTCTTCTGGATCTTCTTGGTGGCAAAGCATCATCCTTTGATGATAGTTCCAAGTTCTGAAAATAACCCAGAGTTATTTGGGGCCAACTGTGATAAGTAAACTGAGTGATCAGGTTGAGTAATATCATTTTTTGGTCACAGATAAGATATGACTTTAAGTTGGCAAGCTGTCCCATGTAACTTGTAAACTCTATAAAAAAATTTCCCCAAAACAAATTCTGGAAAACTAGTAGTAATACCATTGGAATAAGTGTTTAGTCTCCCAAGGAAACTACTTTGAAGAATAACATTCATTTGGATATATAAATTGTATGTGAGAGAGACAAAGGCTGATGAAAGTTATTCATTACACCTTTACATGATGCAAATACTTCAACATACATGCACTTGTGGGTAACTTTCTAGTGTAATATCTGTATATTCTGTGTGGATGTCTCCCCTAGTGCATTTTAGACTAACTCCTGGATAAAAAGGGTTAGGGCTTGGTCACTGGGAAACGAGTCTATGCATTTACCTTTGTTTAACCCCTGGCGAAACACTAGACACAACTAGGAAAATTCTTTTTGACGTTAATGGTAAATGATGAGAATTTTGTATTGATTTACCCAAAATATAATAACCATTCAGAATGAAATAGAACTTCAATTCAGCAAACACTTATTTAGTCCATACTTATGTGCAAAGCATTTTGCTACTGAGAATACAATGATAAAAATAAAAATCTTCACTGGAAAGTAAACTATATTCTAGGGTCTACAAGATAATGCCCAAAATAAATGCCAGAGGAAGAGGATACTAACCATTGCTGGGATCAGGAAAGGCTTTGCAAAGGAGTTTGCTCCTGGGGTGCAAGGCGTGTGCAATAGAAGACTTCTCAGTAATTTTTACATTTTTGAGAGCGTATTTACATCTGCCAATAGTGAATGAATAAACAACTGTGAGAGCATATAAAGTCTTACCTTATATTCCATTTCATACTATTTTCTTACCTGTTCTCACTCCAACTCTTCAGATATGATGGGAGAGAAAGAATAGAGGTGCTGAAATTATTGTATTTTTAAATAATAGCAGATGGACAGCCTTACTGTTAACACTAGCATCTTTGAAATAGTAAAAAAAACTAGAGGAAGGCCTCCAGTGCTTTGGGCAGAATATGATTTTAAAAGGGACAAGAATCATCAAGGGTGAGCATGTATCAGAGCAATTCTGATCCCCTACTTGTTAGTCTTCCTCCCCACCCCAATTAGTTTGTACTTTATAAATGTATTGATTTATGTGTGCATTCTGTTCTCTACCTCAATCTCCCCCATCCCAGGTAGAATGTAAGTTCCCTGAGGGAGGTGTTTTGCCTTTGTCTTGGTATCCCTAGCACCTAATACAGTACCTTACACATAGGAGGTGCTTAATGTTTGTTGAATGAATGAATGAATGAATGCATAAAAGAATGTCTTTCATAGTGAAACAGGATCCAAATTGTTGTTCTTAGTTACACCTGTTACAATTAAAAAAACCCACCTTGACTTGACATTGCCATCTCATCAAGGACAACATATCTTCTCCTTTTGTAGGGCAAAATCCTATTTAAAAAGTCACTACAATCATTGCTACCAATTTCATACCTTTCACCAGGAGTTTGTTGCTATGTGACTCTCTGAAAAAAAGTGCACACTTTTAAGTTTAATCTGCATTACTGACATATACTCTATAAATTTCTTGTCTAGAAATCAACAAAATAAGCCATAATTTTTTTTTGGCATTTCTCACTTTCCAAAGTATAAATGCTCATACCAAAAATTTAACAATTTGTTTCTTGGAGGAGCTAGTGTGACCCGGCTCCAGCCCCATTCAATCTTGATTCTGATGCCACCCCTCACCTGAAACTATTCTCTTCAAGATTACCAATGGTTTCTTAACTCCCAAACTCAGTTTTATTCTTTGTTTTGTTTTGAGTTCTCCTCTCTACAGCTTTTGGCACTATTGGCCACCTCCTTCTCTTGGGTGGGCTTTGCATCCTAAGGCTTCCACTGTTTATCCTGCTTTGACTGGTTCCTTTTGTCTCCTTTACTATTATCAGCCTCTATTTCTCATCCCCTTAGGCTTCTTCTTGGACCCTCTTGTCTCTGAATATTCTTTTCATTGGTGATTTCATATGCTCCAGTGGCTTCAAGTATCATCTCTCTCTTCTTTTCTGTATGCTTTCCATTAGTGATCTCATATACTCCACTGGATGCAAGTATCATCTCTACACATGTAGCACCCAAATGTATATATCCAGTCTGAATCATCCTTCTGAACTCTAGCCCCACATCACCAACTATCTGTTGGACATTGTTAGATGATAACCCATTGCTATATCGAATTCAACATATTCAAAACAGTGGATAAAGTGCTGGGCCTGGAATCAAGAAAACCTAAGTTAACATCTAGCCTAACTTACTAGCAGTGTGATCCTGGGCAAATTGCTTCATCTGTTTGCCTCAGTTTCCTTAACTATAAAGTGGGAATCATAATAGCTAGCACCTACATCCCATGGTTGTTGTGAGAAATATCATTGATAATGAAATATTTGTAAAGTGCTTAGTACAGTGCCTGGCACATAAATAGACATTTAATAAGTGCTTATTCTCTTGCCTTCTTATCCCTTCCCCCTTTCCATCCCTCCTCGAAACTTCCCTATAGCTTTCAAAAAATATCTTTTGTTTTTAAATCACCTAAATTTTTCACTATATCCCTCCCCCCTCCTCCCAGAGAGCCACCCCCTATTACAAAGAATAAAACAAAAAAAAAATCAGAAAAACCAAACACATTGATCAAATCCAACATTAAATGCAGTGTTCTATAGCCTTTCTTCTTTACCTCTACAAAGAAGGAACGTGCATTCACATATCTCCTTTAAGACCAAGTGTGGCCATTATAATTC